CCTACACAGATGAGTAAGGCATATGTCTTTAAAGCTTTCTGGGGCGTGATTGCGGTTACTTTCTCGAAATAGCCTCAGCCGTCGAACTGAGAGGAGTGCGAAGGTACCCCAGGCATCAGTCAATGAAGTAGCAGAATCTGGATCGCCTCACTTTCCCGTTGTAGAGATCATGACTGTACTAGGGTGGGTAGTACTGTGTTGTTAAAAAGATGAAATCGTATATTTTACCCACAGAGAAGGATCCCCTTTAATAAGAATGGGTATGGGACTAGTGAGGGTGATTGGAACGGAATTCAGTTTTTTCCCCTGTTTAAAGTGTACCATTGACCTTGCCCCGAACTGTTAGAATGGTCCCTTTCTGCATTTTTTTTGTTTGTGGAGAAAGGAGTAGTGTTTCACTACACAGTAAGTGAAATGATCTCCAGATCCTCCAGCACGCTCCCAGTCAGCACGTCGCACGCTGGGATCCCATCCAAAGGGGTCGAAGTTGCCTCCAAGGTGCTCCTCTACCCTCCTCGCCCCGCCCGACGGTAGCTTTCTGGTGAAAAGGTGGATAAATAATGAAAAAAAAACTAGGGAAAAAGCTAGAAGTACAAGAAAATTTTGGAGAATAGGATGTGAGGATATCTCATTCGGCAAGGTTTTCCGAACGCCACGTGCCCTGTCCTCTCCCCCTCTCCATCTCTCGCTGGGCCACTGGCAACTTTTTTGTCGCTATGATCTTCACTAATATTAATCTTTAAGTACGGTACTGGATCGGCTGTTGGTTTCCTGGGCCAAGATACAGTGCGATTTGGTGGCATCGGCACGAATCAGCTCGTCGTACCCAACACGGTTTTCGGACAAGCAACAAGTTTAGCTGCCTTCTTTGCTGATGTAGGTGGAAAATTTGACACATTAGATGTTAGTGTACTCTAAATCCCTCCATTTCCGTGTTTTTCAGCAACCAATCGATGGAATTCTCGGGTTTGGCCTTCGAAACGATCGCTGTCGATGGTGTTACACCTAACCTTTTCATTCAACGCCTCCTGACCCGTTAGTCAAGTGACTCGTTGCAGCCGATTTTCACTGGTTTTCTGGAGCATGTGGTCGGAGAGTATGTGCGCAATCGAAAAACACATTCCATCGATTGAATCGTAAATGGGCGAGGAGCTAGAGCACATATGCTTAAATTTTTCGATCGTTACTCATCGAGGGGGGTTGGACATATAAGTTCCAGGCAACCTACGGAAAAAACTCAAAACCGCAAGGTTCGCCTTTCGGTTAAATTATCGAAGTACAGTCCACAGCTAAATCATTTGGGCGGACAACAGCACCGTTCATAGTCGCCATTAATCGGCACGAATGATACCGAAATGTCCTAATAAAAGGGGTATGATGCAACGAAAGCGGGTTGTGTCAAAGCGCAATAGGTACAAAGGGCGACTTCCCTTCATTGCTAAAAGGGCTTCGTTCTTGCTCGAAGTTCTCACCGACTGATTTCCAATTCTCTCCCTTTCTTTTCTTGGAATTTTCTGAGAACCTTTCACTTCCCTCACCCTCCCACCCTCCCCCGGAACTTCGCCGCCACCCGGAAGACGGAGGGAAGTGAGGTTACCATCGAACAATCACTATTTTCAGCTGTCGAAAATGGTTGTTGAGTAAGACAAAGGCAACAGCAGTCAGGGGGTGGCAGATACAACCCTCCCTTTAGAAAGCAACGAGCAAATACTACATCTCCCATCCTAGTGGGGACCAACGATGTGGATAGCGCTCAGAAACAGAAAAAAATGTCTATCAAAAAATTTTCTCACGCTCAATACGACCCCTCTACCTCCAGCAATGCGACCACCCGCTGGAGATTCCCATCGTTCGATGTGCCTGGCTCGGATTTCCTTTCAGTTTGACAGAAAAAAACCATGCAAATTTCAGACCAGGACAATGTCTACGGAGGTGTGTACACCTATGGTGGTTTGGACACCGCAAACTGCGGTCCAGTTCTCGCATATCAACCGCTCTCGTCAGCAACCTACTTACCAGTTCAAGGTATAGCTCAGCTCTCACTGGTCCTGGTCTTCTATGGCATATTTCTGATTTGATAATTTTAAAACCTTTCCAGCTTGATGCCGTTGCTTCAAGCACTTACTCGTCAACAAAAGGATGGCAAGCTATTTCTGACACTGGTACATCCTTGTTGGCCGCTCCTACGTCGATAGCCAGCGCTATCGCTGACGCCAATGGAGCTACGGTAAGTGTTTCACTTTGCTTCTTCGACAGTACGTAAAGTGGTGTAACCTGATTCCGAGAAAGGACCCAGCTACCGTCATTGCCGGCGGAGTCCTTCACACCAGTACCCAACGTGACAGCGCTGCATCGAATTACAGATTAGCATCTCCGAGCAGGGTACAGCAATGGGAAGGGTGAAAAGACGGTGTCAATACGACCCCTTCAAATTTCCGTCCCAATACAACCCCATTTCCCCGTTCGACCCCTTCCCACCTTCTCGCAACGCTCTACCAGCAGGGTACAGCATCGTGATGTGTGAAATGGTGGTGAAGGTACGACTTCCCCTCCGAGAGAGGGTGTCAGTACGACCCCCCCACCTAAATGAGGG